AGAGGCAGGCAGAGTATCTATAAGCTGTGCTCTCGATTGTTCTCAGAATTGCTTTGATCGATAAAATCATTCAGATAATTCAACACGTAAGAATTTCGTGATATATTCCATGAACCGTTTATCGTAAATTCCATATAGTTCTTTTATGCCACAGAAAATAATGTATAATTTCAAATTTTTAGTTGAAGTAGAATCGATCCAACATTGAATTGCTTGCAACTTTTAACGTTTATTCTGGTTAATTGATTTCCATTGATATTTATAACAGAAGTGTTTTATCAAAAAAATTATTGTTTCAGATACCAATAGAATCATTGATGGTGATAATTAATTTTCTGTTTAAAGAATTTACAAGCTGATAGAAAAATTTTGAAGATATTTATAACGACGAGAGAAATTTAGAATATATCTAATATTTTAAATACATGAAGCGTGAAGTGCTTCTATATATTCCAAGATTTATAGAGCTTATCTCGACGATTCTTTCTAGAATGCTTGTGCATGAGGCGTGGCAATAGTTACGAATCTACGAGAGCAAATAAAGACACGAAACAGCACAAAACACGCGCACTTGAGCTTATTAAATAAACGAGAAACGTACGCGATTTAAGTGAGTCAGTTAATCCGCATGTATTTGTGTCTATTAAGCATTTACGACGTATACATATATGTAAATGTTACGTTTCTATCTCCCACTTGTTTTAATTCCATTTATAGAATGTAATAAAAGAGGATCTAAAAAGGGACCGACTTTTGCTCAAAGAGGTATAAGTAAAAGAAGTATTTTTTGTAGATTTTAACCTTCTGGATACGACAAAGTTATTAAAAAGTTCGAAAATTAAGCATGAACATTGAAATTTGGATAAATACAACATCATATTCGTGCTCAATTTTCGAAGTGTTTCCCAAACGCTAATTCTTTAATTATTTTATCCAGAAAGTATTCAAATTATTTTTATCCACAAAAACTATTCCTCTTACTTACACCTTTTTAGGTAGAAGTTGACCTCTTTTTAATATCCTCCTTTCATTACGATTATATCAGTGATGTCGAAGTATTCTATGACTTCGTTTAAAGATCTTTTAAAAGAAGGATTAAAATATTTCTTCATTCGTAGTTAATCACTTCTTTAATGATATTTTCGCTACGGTCTATTAAGTTGGATTTTTATTATTTCAATAATTTAGAACCGTTGTATTTGAAAATAAAATGCGATAACATTTACATTTCACAGTTTTATCACCACTATTATCATATCACACATTTGATAACTCGAAACATCAACCGGAAAATAATAATTTGAGTTACTTTTACACTTTAGCACAGCGTGCATTTCTTGACATATTTTATCGTTTCCCGGCTCTGTGCGTACAATATATGTAAGATTCTTGGCTCGACGATCATCAATGTCGAGTGTTAGGTAGACACGTTATCGCTTATCAGAATCGCTGATAAATGGCGTAACGAAGTTGAGTTGACCGGCTTCGAGTATTTATCGCTACCTTTCGAGAAATGGACCCAGTTCGTCACAACCGACCGTTGTCCACGCAATCTTTTAGTATCGCCTCTCTTTCATTCGTTTCTTCTTTTTTTCGGAATCGATACTCTCAAGAGAAAAATCGAGTGCGGAGTGAGTGTTACATACCTGAACAAAGACTTCGGATAGATGTAAATTCGTGTGCCATATATGTGACGTGTGCGGCACGCATCGCGCGTATGTCACGCAACTGATAGCGTGTACAATCATGATTGACGAAAATTCATACTCTATAATTTTTCGAATTGCAATTTTTAATTTTGCGAAAAATACACACTGCCGTGTGTATTATTGAATAAAACGTAGTGCTCAAAAATCGGCAGCATATTTAGTTGATAAAAAGAAATTTTTCGACGTAATTGCTTTGCCTCTTTTTCGGCCACAAAAAATAGTGACGTAATACGTTCTCAGAAATGTTAATTTAATACTCGAGTATATCAAGCATATCGTATTCAATATACTTTCAGATTTTATATGTAGATTTTTGAAAAAATTTCTTGAATCTTCATGTAATCGTCTTTTCGAAATGTCAATTGAAATAGAAGTATTAAATTTTTATTACTACACTCTCTAGAACTTTTACTTAAAAATTGAGCTATTCTTTTTCAAAGTTGATTCAATTTTTACTCTTTAGAGTGAAATTCCACTCCAAAGTATAATATTTAGAGAGCATTTTTCTGAGTTTTTATAATCTCTGTTTCTTTTTTTATCGTTTTACTAAAGTCTTGTTGCTGTATTTTTATAATTGCTGTAGATTAGTAATACAGCATTCCGCTTGTCTAAGGATTAGTCGAAATTTTGTCACATTTGCGGTCATCCGGGAAGTCCTTATAATCTAATCATTTCTTAATCGCGGGAAGAGAAACGGTCACCGTTACGAAGTCGCTTGTGCGAAATAATGAGAATTTCGCATTGTTATTGAACATTCCGACAGCAATTAATAAATACAAAGGCAGATCTGGGCTTCTTTATTAAAGCTTTAGTCGTGATGATTACGCTATACTTCGAACAATTATGCTTCCCCGGAACTCTCTCAACCTTCATGAAAAAGATTTCTTTGAAATGCCTTGCAACACAAATTTGCACTAGAAATATATAAGGTGTACAATCTCTCACTATATTTCCTGACAATCAGATTTTGTAACTAACATAAAGCAATATTTAAATTTTTAAATAAATATATTCATTAGAGTCGTCTTATGAAGAAATAGTATCGGAAATATTAAGATAGTAGTATTTATTAAGTAATAAATGATGGAGAATAAAAAGTTATGGAAAAGTTTTTAAGAGTTTTCACTAATAAAGCCGACAATAAACTTTTATTTTTTCTTCAGTTTTAATCGGATATAATTAATTGAATTTTAAGACTCGCTTTGAATTTAATGTTATTTATCAAAAAGTTACGAAGATAAATAAAACCAAATTGCTTAGAAAGCCATACAACTTTTTCGCAGAGAGAAATTTCTCTTTCAGGAAAAGGCCTGCGAATATCTCGTATAATGTCTTTTGTCTATAAATCTCTCTTTAATCTCCGTACTCTATTCCGTCCGTTCACGATTTATGATTCTATCGCCTCATTGAAAAACAGCGTCGGTGTTTGCGTCGGTCGTTCGACAAGTTCTCTTCGATATCTTTCGACGAATTGGTTGAGTGAGATATATACTATCTTGACAAATAATCGAAAATTTCAGTTAGTCTGCAATGCTAATTGATCAGCCAATATCTTTTAAAATAAAATACTATAGCATTATAATATTATAGTATATTAGTTATTCTTCTTTTATTAATTTAAATTTTTTTAGTAAAATTTGTCTATCTTTAAATGTCTACAATCAAAAAGATATTGTTATCTCACCTTTTAATCTTATAATCTCTCACATACGATATTCGCAAGTGTTTTACGAGCTAATATAGACGGCAAAAATAAATCCTCTTATAAAATCTTCACTCAAAAAGTATGGAAAGTTTTAAAATAATCATAATAAATACTACCTACATTATTATCTTCATTAAAAGTATAACAATTTGCAACCAAAAAATTATACTCGTTCTACATCCATTTTTTTGCAACAATTAAAAATTATATGTCTAATACCGACAAAAATTCGTGTATTTGATTATACGCATCATAATATTAAATCATTAAAGCCATGTAGAGTCGAAGAACTCATTACATATATTATAATTTTTAATATGATTAAATACAACCTGATTATTCTGCAATCATATTTACAGCAATTGATTGATTATCCAAAATTATTATTATAAAAATTATATTTAACATTAACTCATATTAGGGTACAATTTTATTAATATTTATTTGTCATTGGTAAATTTTTCAAGTTTCCGTAATTTTTACATCGTGTAACTATAATATTTCGAAATATCATGATTAATTTCCCAAGTTTGGCAAAATGGCTTCTCTACCCTTCAATGAATCGAAGAGGATTCAATTTCTCCCCTTTCCAGATTTTCTCATTTCAATCTCGGAACAAATTTCCGCCTGGCTGCTTCATCTAAGAGAATGAACAGAAATACTCGTAAAGTACAAAAATTGGTTGCTTCATTTATATTTGTCTATTTTATCAACCGTTTTATCAGAGAAAAATCACTATAGAAAAGAAAATTAATATTTAAAAGTCGCTTGAATTTTTATCTGCTTACGTATATCACATTTATTAAATCTTAATAATTTAATTCAATCGGTGAAACAATTGAATAGAATTCTCAAATATAAAAGATTGGATGACATAATACGAATTGTGTATTTCCACGAAAATATTTTTACGCAAATTAATTTCATACTAAACACCGTTTTATTATGTGCATCTTGACTTTTGAATAATGAATTTTTCTTAGGTCTCATAAAACGTCAACTGTTCATGACATTAATCATGGAAGGAATATTTATCTCATTGTTAGTTAATAAACGAGGTGAAACTTGTGTAAGTACACGCTTTTTTATCTCTAAAACGTCTCTGCGTACGACATATATAGCTCTTTTCTCGATATCTTTATATATCTTGGATTGTCTCTCTCAATTGTTTCGATAAAAATAATATTTATGACATTCATGAAATGTGTGAATACCTTTCTTTCCTTTATTGTAAATTTTATTAATAGATTAATATCGAATTTATTTCTTTGTTGATACTTGCTAATTTAACAAAAAAAATCTTATTTATATTTTGTACTTGGTATATATTATATATATGTATATGTGACAAAATTTGCATATTATTTTTATATGAATTTAATAGTATCGTTTGATACCTAAGTGTCATTGAAACTCCTTTTCATAATAGATTTTTAAATAATTCTTTAATATCTATACGAAATGTACAAAAATTTTCCAATGTGCATTTGACTTAACAATTTCGTTCTATTAAAGTGTTATAATCAACATCTAAATTGCACACAGATACAGATACGCATATTTACAATTCTCCGAGCTTTATTCACGTTTACTCATATTAAACCGCAGTAATCCACGAGATTGCGAGCGTTCCTGTGTATCTATCTGCTTTATTGTCTACGATGTTACGATTGCAAAAAAAGCCAACACAGTGCTGCCAATAAAGCTTTATTTCCCTATCTACAAAAAAAAAGCCTGTATCCGTACTGCTTGTTCGCTTATTGATACATGTAATTGTGAATCGAATGAAGGTATAAAGGAAGAAAGAGAAATGGATCGTAATTCATTCTCAGGTTCTGGGTTCTATGTGATGTGTTTAGTGATGATCGTCGCAGTGCTTGACATCTTCCTTAAAAAAAAAAAAACACGAGTCTTCTTCTTGACAGAAACTAAATCTTCCATGCTGCGTCATTGATCGGTTTGGCCGTTGAATCGATGTTGAAGATTTATCAGTGTCCGAGATATTACCTACGAAGAACCGTCTTAAGAAGACGAGATCGAAGAGGAGAGTCTGAGAAACAGCAACGGCGACCAATTCCCGTATTCGTTCCCACGTGAGATATCTCGATGATGGACGATCGAGAGAGTCCATTCGTACGAACACAGGCCAGCAGAAGTCTGATTCGGCCACAGACAGGTGCACGAAAGTTCCTGATGCCGTCGCCCGCGGATAAGACAGTACGCCACCTGGCAAATCGACAGACTGTTGGTGAATCGGAAATGAATCCGATGGGCACATCGAAACGATTGTCAGCGCCGCATACACCCTTCGAGAGTCTGAAGCAATGGGAACTGGTAGAGAATGACAAGGGTTTGCAAGTAGTTGAGAAACGGGCCGGCGCTTTAAACCCTATCAGATCTAAGGAAATGATCCCCACGAGTCCGCTCTACGTGAGAGACTCCTCAGCGAAGAGACTCCTCAGCGACACGAATGTGGACGCAAATCTGGAGGAGAAATTGAGAATCTTCAATGAATCGAAGATTCTCCAACCTATTGGACTTTCGTTTGGCCAACAAAGGATGGATTTAGCAACACCCGTTCCACCGTTGGCAGAGCCCAAGGCGCCGCTTAGTCTCGATTTGATTCTGAAGCAACAACAAATAGCGTCGACGGGTACGACGACACTCGAGAGTACCGACATGCTGCAACGATTGGAGCAGCAAGTTAAAGCCATCGAGATGAGCACGATTGCCGCGAGGACGCGTCAGCTGGAGAACAGCTCGGATTTCGGAGCGGAAGTTCAGCTTAGATATCGAGAACACGAGGATTTGCTGCGAAATGCCACCGATGATGAGGCCGAAGGGTAAAATATATACTCTATCTACATCATACGTCAATCATCTCTGTACTCATTGACATTATCATCGATATCTCTTTTATCATTCATCAAACAGCATTGCACATCTGATCTTGTATTTTCTTTTCTTATTCTTCTAAAAACAAAGTAATCTCAATGACACATATATTTGAGAGATTCTTTATTGAAAAAAAAAATAATATTAAAATAATCATTAACTTTTTATAAAATATTTAAAAGCTATCTGTTTTTATTTACAATCGATTTGGAATAATCATTTTCATTGAGAAGAAATAATAAAAGTGTCAAAACGAATCTTAAGAATAATTTATCTTTATCTCGATAAAAAGATTCAAGATTGATCGAGTTTCGAAATTTAATAGGCATTCACCCACATGATCGATTATATCTCAATTTTTGCACGTTAATCGTCATCGAAAAATTCGAACCATAGCATTTCAATCGGTCAATATCCGCATACACACATACAAGCACACGCAGACGATCCGTTAGCACATTTACAGAGTGGCGATAGCCTTAGTGATAATTGAGGAAATCGCCGTCCAACCTCCGCTTGATCCTCGTCGCCACGTCGATTACCTATACACGCCTGATTCATACAATTGACTGTCCGTTTACACCCACACGTGTTCTTTTCTTCACTACAATTGACATTTAGTTTACGCAATGTCGCAATCGTGCAACGATTCATTCCGTGATTTCCCGTCAGTTTGTCACCATTACACGTAAATCATTAAATGTTTAACCAGAAAAAATCAGTGAAGATTACACTGGGAAAGAAAGATTCTGATCCATAGCTATCATATGTTGAATAAAATAATTTCAATTAAATGTTCAATAACTACAATCAAAAATAAATTTTACTTTTCTAAATATTTAGTAAGTATTCCAAAACATAATATTATTAACATAATATATCACCGTTTGATAAAATACAATATTACTAAATATTCAGAAAAGTTAAAATTATTTTTAGTTAAATGTTAAATGTAACTTAACATTTGATTAGAATTATTCCACTCAACATTTGGTAGCTATTATCAGATTCTTCTTTCAATATACGTGTTTGCAGAGACAGATATTTCGATAAATAAATAATCTACTGGGTGTCATTGAATATCAGCACTCTAAAGACATATCGGTATGTATTAATCATGCGGTGTTTATATAATTATCTTCGTGTTAATATTAACACCAACATGATATGGATTTAACTCATGATATTAAATCCAGTATGTTGGTGTTAATATTAATACAATGAGAATTATATCACACAGTGTTATTTTTTAGAGGGCACATCTTTGATAATTAATGTTTGTTTGATAAAAATATCAAGGTAATATTTTCTGAATTATGAACGATGGAAAATAAACGGTTTTGCATGAATTCTGTTGGTGTACAAAACAGATAATAAAATGTTATTTTCCAATTGATTTTGAGTGGACTGTATCGATAACAGTGTTTCAATTACAAATTTTGATATCATGAGATTTAATATTGAAAATTAGAAAAGTGTTTATTTAATTTCTGTCTCCAAATACAACATCTTGTTACGTTTAAAACGATTTCTCCATTCGTTGGATTACCACTACATTATCACAAAACTTTAATCACAACAAACACTTATACTGTACAATCTGTTATCAATGATATATCATACTCTCATATCATATTATCATACTCTCTATTGAAACATGAACGAAAAAAGGATCTCACTGTTGCACCGTGGAGATGCAACGCGGAACTCCACCGGAAATGCCGGCATCGTGCCAAAGAAGCCCACCGTTAAGTTGTCTAGGACTGCATCGGATACGCGACGGGGACAAGAAACGGAGATGAGAACACAATCCAGAATGCCACAAACTCGCGCGATCGTCCGGCCGATAGTTACCAAAAAGGATCACCAGCGTCAACAGCAATCACAACAGCAGAACAACGCAATGACCGTCCCGCTCAGACCGTTGTCAGACATGCAGAAGGGTATTCAGAGCGAGAAGGAGGTAGATATTTAATATGCTTATATATATGTATAGGCATCGATTGCAACGTTATCACGTTTAAACATTATCAAACATTTTGCCGATAAGATAATTTCTACCTGATTTAAAGAGAGGAACAAAAAGAATCGCGTTACTTTTTAATGTCTATCGTAGAATAATTGGACTGTATGGTATTACGTATATAATTATAACTTTGTCGAGGATTATTTAGCGATAATTGACACGAGTCGAAATCGCCATAAATCAAATGAGATACTTGACAGTTAGAATCATGGCACACAAAAAAAGCATTGTTTTTTAACATTTCTTCTTTACTTATGCTTGTGTTTGCAATTTTATTTATTATTAATTTAATTTTTTATTTCTTAAGAGCCATGATACAAAAAAAACTTAAGCAGTAAGGAAATCAACATGGATTGGCTACTGCTTATATTATGGCTTTAAGATCTTTACTGTGATTGGTTAGTTCGCTTACTGCTTAAGTTTTTTTTGTGTCACGGCTGTTAAGAAATAAAAAATTAAATTAATAATAAATAAAATTGCAAATACAAGCATAAGTAAAGGAGAAATGTTAAAAACAATGCACGATCCGTAGTCACGCGCGGATTTTACGATTGCCCATATATGTACATATATCGACGATGTGACGAATCAAGTGCAAACGGAATGGTAATGTAAATGCATTTCCATACTTACGTCACGTATGACTCGTTTCATCAATTCGACCTGAAATAATCCGGACGATTTCCTCGCTTCATTGAAGCGTCATTTAGTCGTTATGACGATCGCGCAACCTGTCGAAGCTAATTATTCCGCATATGAAACGCATTTGAAATATTTTGGAAATTTCAACGAGCAATATTTTTTTCTCTTTAAAGAAATTTATTTTTTTAACGGAAAACATAAATAAACCTTTTTGTGTAAAATATAAAAATTTACTCAAGTGAAATATTTACTTTCAATGAATTATAAAATTAATTGAGTTCAGAAAAATATTTTCAATTATATAAATTATTTTAATCTAATTATTTGAACAAGTCGGACATGTTTCTTTGACAACTGATAGAAAATATCGGAGGTAAAATAAAATAAAATAAAATATAATAAAAAATATAGTTTTTCGAACAAAATTCTTTTATGTCGATATAAAACAACGAAAGTTATAACTTTTAATATTGTATGTCATGTCGACTCGATAAGCTGGCAATATATCTGGAACGGGATTTACATCTGTATTAACTTCGTGTTGTACCATAAAACAAATTTCAGATGCACCCCACGAAACGGAAGTGCTGACTTTGTTTTACGTCATGTATTTCCTATTTTCCCATTTTCGTTGCTGTTTTATGAAGACACATAAATCGTAATCTTCGTAGAAATCCAGCATCAGCAGTTTTCTCGTAACTTCTGATGATTATCTTTAATTTAAAACGGCTAGTTTCCATTTGTATTATATTATATGATATAATATAAAGTTTTAAATATAAATAAAGAGTTATATAAAGAATGAATAAAAAGTAATATAAAATTTAATTAGTCTATACCAATAACATTGATTAATTCAGGATTTATGCAACAATTGCATTTTTCACCGCAATTAAAATGCTGTTCACAATAGCATTTATAACAAATTCTTTGCAAAAATAGGTTTCTCAAAGTGATCGCAATATTTATTTTTCTCTTAACGAGATACGATAGTAATTTTAAAATTGCAAAAAACATATTATAATTAATGTTATTAATTTAGATAAATTCTGAATTGAGTTATTTTTGCGTTAGAATAAAAAAGAGAACGCAGCCAAAAATCAGCTGGCTCTTTTGTTTAATAGAACATCTAAATAGAGCTTTACTATTTGCTAATTCACGTGTAAGCGTTTCTATTTTCCGTAGAGAATTCGCGTCAACTTGGATCTATTCTTATCTTCCTTTTGCGTGAAGTGGATGTCCGCGACTCTTCTTTCATCGTTACTTTTTCAGTCGATTGATCAGCTGATTGAACGCGCTCTCTGTCGTCTCTTCGACTTTACCCTCTTCATATTAACTCTCGAGTATTCTCACCTAAGTATCCGATGAGAAAAGAAATCAATGCTTTCTTATAAGTGCTAAAATAAAATATTGTTAAGTTAATTACTTGAGCGATTTATCCTTTTAAAATCACCTTCTAAAGTGTTAAAATTGATACTGTCTTGATTTATTCTTATTTATCACATGTATCATGCGGTTCTTAAGTCTAGTGTCGTTATAATTTAGATTATAATTTATGCTAATAATGGCAAGTCTTATCTTTTTATAAGTCTGTTTTCTAATTTTTTTTTTCTATATATAAATGCAACCTTAACCAAACTCTAGAAATACTTTCTAATATTTTTAATATTAAAATTGAACAAAGTTAATAATGTAGGCGTTTTTAATGACATTAAACATATTTATCAATCTCATATATAGCGCTAGATTATATTCCGATAATCTTCTCGGTGTTCATAGTAGTAGTTGATTCGAGCAGCTGACGAGGCGAAAAGCCTCGTTGCTAGGTAGGAGGATGATAAAGGTGAAGATGTAGCATCCCACTCTTTACATCCCACAGATGCGTGCGTCATCATCAGAATGTATGTACATATCGATATCTTGGAATTAGAGCTGTCGATATCTTCTCATAGATATAGAGAGCAGAAAGCTCAATCTTTTCTACTTTCAGTGTTTTCTTTTTCTTATAAAACAGTGTTATGTCAATTTCTTTTTTTATTTCAAAGTGCCAATATTATAATAACTAGTAGTTACCAAATGTTGAATGAATTAATGTCAATCAAATGTTTGATTAATATAACCAGAAATAATTTTATCTTCTCAAATATTTAATAAGATCATCAAACATAATAATATAACTGAATATTTAGTAATAATTACTAAATATTAAAAAAAATAAAATTATTTTTGGTTATATTAACCAAACATTTGATTGAAATTATTTCACTCAAAACATTTGATAGTTATTACTAGATTCTTTTTACAGTGTACATAACCATCTCTCTTACAAGTTTAATAATCATAAAGGAAAAGTCATTTCTTTTATAGCGTGTGTTAAACATTTCATTTTCTTTAGGACGCATTAACGCTTGCGCTTTGCGACATTCGGTCCGATCAGCTGACTAGGTTGAAACCTTCTGTTATCTCAACTGATGCGAGCAGCACCCTCAGTTAAAAGAGTAAAACACGGAATAAACGTGTGTCAGTGGTTCCCATTTTCTGCGACGCATGCGTTCTTCGAAAGGGGTAGCAGAGAGAGAGAGAGAGAGAGAGAGAGAGAGAGAGAGAGGGCGACGTTGAGGCTAGGCATTCAAGGGTGGTTCTCTCGCACGTTTCCACCGAGGAGGGTGGCGGTGCCGTGTATTGATTCTGCCTTTGCATCCCTCAGTTGTGTGGTCTCTTCTCCGAGGGTGGTTCGTTTCGAGGGTGGAAAAGGGAAAAGGCAGTCGCGTACGGTCGTCGTCGCCGTCGACGACGACCAAAGCAACTGTCTCGCGTTTCTCAATCAGTCTTCTCGTCTCATCACTCCTCTTTCTTTCTTTCTCTCTTTCTCTTTCTTTCTTTCTCTTATGAACACAAGACAGTGTTTGATAATTGTGACATAGAAAGATTTGCGAACAGTGACATCGCATCTGCCTTTGATAAGAGCTCAAAGACCCTTGACGGAAGTGGTATATCTTGAAGAACTTAGCCTGCGATACCTAATACGATATTGAAACTCCTATCGGATTCACACAGTTTCGATAATCACCTACGAAAGTATTTTGATAATATACATCACTAATTTGATTATAGTTTCATTAATTGTCAGTGAACTATCATCGTTGATGGATCGATGTTAAATGTGAACTATGCTGGTGAGAGATGGTGTCGCTGACGTCTTGCCACATTATCGTTAACCGAAGGTTGATGAGATAGCGATTAGTATAGTCATGCAGTGACGTCTGAAAAAATAACGTACATGTGACACGCCTTCGTTGAAAATGAATTGGATTTGATTGCAATTGTATTTAGAATTGATTGATAAAAATCAAAAGCGATTTATATATATATATATATATTATTGAAACAAAATTTTTCCAAAGCCATTACCCACTTTTTCATTAAAGTTAAATTCTACGAGAAGAGAGCAAGCTTTCTACAAACAACAAATCCATGCAATGCAAGTTACTCTAGTTGAGTATAAATATCATCTTCGAGGATTCAATTTGCAGTTCAATACCAGTACAAAGAGTGCCTAATGAAACATATCGGACACTGATGTTCTCTGAATTACGTCATGTATTTTGTAAACGGGTTCGCGCGCGGTAAAACAAAGAGATTTATCACTTGAGAAACCTAATTCAAACGTTATTGGAACTCAAAGAGAAGTGCCCCTTTAAATCGAGATACCAAAGTCAGCGGCCGATTATACTTATTTATTTCTTCAGTCGAAGATCAAAGTGTTTGCCTAACGACAGATGGTGGTGATATAACAATCAGTTTATCATTGAAATACAGTAGTGGTTTTTATACAACACTGCTTGTATTTTTGGTAAAATGAACCAGCGTGACGATACGCTTCGCGAATTGACTCATCGCTCGACCTTCCAAAACGATCGACCACAGAAACTGCGATCACAGTTGGTCTTCGTTATCGAAGAAGAATCGAGAATTAAGTTATCTTTAATAAAATAAAGAATTAGAACAAAGACAATAAGAGAGAATTGTGAAATAAAACTATAGTGATCAAAGGGCATAATATAACAGCTCGCGTATTAAGATCTACGATTTATATCCTGCCATGTTGAATTTTTTCGGCGCATTCTCGTATTATTGGCAGTCAGACAGAACAAGTAATCTACTGACGGTTTAGATCGTGCGCATGCGAGCACGAGGAAGTGGTTTACCGTCGGATCCGTCGTCGATCCGGCGTTCATCGATTGTCTAGTTGGGATTTACAAACAGTCAAACTGGCGGCTTCTAAAATTGCGGCCACCACCAACTCGCGCAAGATGGTCACACGTGGCTTCCTGCGGGTAATACTTAAATCCTGCGAAATTAATTGTTAAGTTGCCTGTCCTGATTATTCTTTGTTTTCTCTGCTTTTCATTACATATCCGCGTTAATAATATATTTTTATCGTACTTAAGTAGCAGCTTTTATTTCAAATTCTTGATACCTCTTTCAATTCAAAGGCACGTATCTGACTGGTCGCGAGCATAACGCATTTAAATACTTCGATTTCTTTCATAAATACGCTTGTCACATCGATATTCTGCCGTTTTTCCTTTCTTCTCTCTTTTTATTTCTTTTATTAAAGGTATAGCGAGAAAAGAAGTAAAAAATCGTATACGCAACGTCAACGTAACGCAACGGTTGTCCTCGCAATTAATACGAAAGTCCAGCGTGTTTCACTCGGAACAATCTGTATCTGGTGTATTTTAACAAGCTTTAATTAATTCCATTGACAATGGCCGCCGCCGTGCCTGGAAGTGTCAAGTGCGGCCGCGTAAGCATGTGCGTATGCGTAAATAAATGCGACATTGTGCGAGGAGGGAGAGAGATCCGCGATATTCCTCGAGATGTAGCATTCTTGAGGAATGTGCGCTGAGCTCTTAACGAGCGTTTGCCCCGTATTTCTCGTGCCTCATTCCATGACTTTAAACGCCGCGCTCGGAGATGCGACCTAAGTTTCTGAAATAGTTGGCTATTTACGACGCAACTTTGCACAGCGTTCTCCCGTTTCTCGAAATAAATTAGCACGCACGGTATACTTATAGCGTTTAAAATAATTTCTAAATTATTGAATTTATTTAGATTATGCATTATGTAAATCTATGAATAACTTTTAATTTAATTAAACGTTTCTCGTTCATATTTTGTGCAGTAATATCGGTTATTTTAGTTTTAATTATATATCCACTAGTATTAATTGTATATATTCACTGATTCTTTCTTTTTTATTAAGAATAAACTATACATGTACTATGTTTATAATTTCGATTTATTTATTCTTATTAGGATTCTATAATTATAACATTAATTATATTTTAGATATTAAACTAGTAAAGAAAACATATAATGTTGTATGTATATTGTCTTTACTAGTTTTATCTAGTAATTAACTATATCTGTGATTTGATTTTGATTTCTGAAATATACAATTGATGTTACAATCATAAAGTCTCAATGAAAATGAATGAATCGAGATTCTATTTGTAATTAATTTTACCAAATAAAAAATTTTTGACATTTACAAGTTTGTCAGAACAATGCTATTTTTCGCGATTTTTATTCAGAAACGAAAATTTCTTTGTATACATTGATTTAACAGTAACATTATTTACAATTTATTTGATTTTTATTTGCTTATCGATCATGATTTTTTTGTGTTACAGACGGGGGATGGCGTAGGGGTGTCGAGTAGCGGAGGTCGACTCTCCTCGAGGAGTCGAACCTCCGAGGAACCTCATATCGGCAAGTACAAATTACTGAAGACCATTGGCAAAGGCAATTTTGCCAAGGTGAAGCTTGCTAAGCATGTACCCACGGGGAAGGAAGTAGCCATCAAGATCATCGATAAAACTCAATTGAATCCCGGTAGTCTTCAAAAGGTAATATTATATCGTCATTATCTTATGTTTTCTTATAATTTCCTTTTCTTACATAAGTTCAATAAAACAGAATTATAGATGTAAAAATGAGAATTGTTAGAACTAATATAAATTGTATCGTTTTAATGTATATTATGTTACATACCATTAACCGTTATTTAAAATTGATTGCTATAACATGCAAGTCATTCTTTTAATTATATTGATTTATTTTGCATGCTAATATTTTTACAAAAAGAACTGTTATTGTTTGTGAGTCATGTCGCATTATCATAATTTAACAGGAAAAAAACTTCAAATTATACATGTATCTCATAAATGTAAATACCTGTGTGATTCATGCTGATACATCTGATCAATTACAGTTGTTCCGAGAAGTCAGGATAATGAAGATGCTCGACCATCCAAACATAGTGAAATTGTTTCAAGTGATCGAGACTGAAAAGACACTGTACCTGGTAATGGAATATGCCAGTGGCGGCGAGGTCTTTGACTATCTGGTCCTGCATGGGCGGATGAAAGAAAAAGAAGCGAGAGCGAAGTTTAGGCAGATCGTTTCTGCTGTGCAATACTGCCATCAAAAGAAGATCATTCATAGAGACTTAAAAGCTGAAAATCTGTTGCTCGATAGTGAAATGAATATCAAGATCGCCGATTTTGGTTTTAGCAATGAATTTACACCCGGTAACAAGTTAGACACATTTTGTGGTTCACCTCCGTATGCCGCGCCGGAACTTTTTCAAGGTATTTCCTTGAAGTGATTTATATGGATTTGCATGTTAACTTGAAATTTACTTATACAATTTTTCCATTTACAGGAAAGAAATACGATGGTCCGGAAGTGGACGTATGGTCGTTAGGTGTAATCCTATACACATTGGTGTCCGGCTCACTGCCTTTCGATGGTTCGACATTGAGAGAATTGAGAGAAAGAGTATTAAGGGGGAAATATAGAATTCCGTTTTATATGTCCACCGACTGTGAAAATCTTCTCAAGAAATTTTTGGTGCTCAATCCAACGAAAAGAGCCTCACTAGAGGTACGTAGGGATCAGATTCAAATTATATGAACTCTCTATTTTATTGTATGAACTCTATTACCTTATTAGATAAGGTATTAATTATTTTATCAATGTATTCACAAGTGATATATTTTAATGACACGTAAGTTCATGTTTAAAAGAAATATAATCTAATACTTTTTATTATTATAGAACATAATGAAGGATAAATGGATGAATTTGGGATACGAAGATGACGAATTAAAACCGTACTTAGAACCTGAACCTGATTATAGAGATCACAAGAGGATAGGTGAGTCTGCCAGTATGTACATAACACTTACTACTTACCGTTTTTATGTTTAATGTTACATTCGTTGTGAACATTCTATACTATTTTTTTAACATGATATCAACGACAAAGATCAGCTTCTGTTTTCTTCGATGACATATTTTCAAATTGTATAATATATTATAGTTTTAATCTGGATTTTTTGTACAATTTCTCTAAGAATGTTCACATAATTGGATGTTTCTTCTAGTTAGATAATTGTGCAATAATCACTATTAATATATTATCAAAATATATCAGACTTTCATTATTATTTAATAATATGTTCTATCTCACAATTTTATATTATAATGCTAAATAGAGTTTTTAAAACATGCACAATTTGAAATAATTTCTTACTAAATTAGTAAAGTAAGAAATGCACATTTTTTTGTGCACAGCATAGAAACACCATAACTTATTTTTCAAGTTCTTATTTAGTCTGATATATTTATATCTGTATGTGTGTTGTGATCTGCTTCTTAAAATATCTTTTTATTGCATGGAAATATATTTTATTATTAGTAAAAAAAAATAAAATTTTTTAATTAATGCTAATATTAAAATTGAATTAAAATTATATTTTATTTTTAATGTATGTTAAAACACGGATATATTATTAAGGATAAATTTAATTTTTAAGAATTTACTATATTTCTAAATGTTGGATAGTATTTGTTATGACAAACCATACATACCAAGCTTTTTGTTTTAATTTTTTTTTTATATCTTTTTGATTTTGAATTATGAATGTTGTGTTGGGAAATTGTTTCAATTCTAATAGATGTGACTATGCCGCCACGCATTTTTATTTCAGAGGCCTTAGCCAGTATGGGATACACTCGAAGCGAAATAGAGGATTCTTTAGGACAAGCGAAATATGACGATGTATTCGCTACGTACTTGCTCTTAGGTAGAAAAACAACAGATGTAAGTATACGATATATCAAGATTAATATACAGTACATGATAGCGTTTCAAAATCCTAATATTTTTCCCGAATTTTGGTCTGTACAGCCTGAAAGCGATGGATCACGGTCAGGTAGTTCATTATCATTGCGTAACATTCCACCTCAAGTCAGTTCAGGTGGTGGAGGAGGAAGCAGTGGAGGAACAGGTGGCGCAGTACAGAGTCCATCTCACAGAGGTGTTCATAGAAGTATTTCTGCTAGCAATCCAAAACCCAGTAGACGGGCCTCGTCTGGTGGTGAAACTCTTCGTAAGTGTTATATCCGTTTGTTTTAACCGTAACTCTTATGCAGTACGGCGATTTAAACTTTACTGTCAAATAACAAGCATGGATAAGGACATTTATCAAACTTAGGTAAGACGAGGTATCTGTATTTCCTTGTGATCGGAAATTGTGCAACAATTTTTATATTATTTATTTGTGCTGGAAAAAGATAGCGCAGCTACTAGTTAATGTATAGTTTAATTGTTAAACTAAATTTGTAACAAAAGTGATATGATGAATGTTGAAATATAGTAACAAAAATCGATGCGATTGTTTGCTGATAAATCTGTTAGTACAAATACTGTGTCTAAAATAGAAGATTTCATTGCATAATTTTTTTCCTTATTAGGAGGTGCACCCAGTCCAGGTAACGCAACGAATCACAATCATGCAACTGCAGTAACTGGTACAACTGTGACTGGAAGCGGGGGTAGTAATTTTAAACGACAAAATACTGTGGACGCTGCTACGATCAAGGAAAACAGTGCTCGAGTTTCTGCAAGCCGACCCTCTGCAACTAAAAATAGTCAATCACCTGGGCAATTAGATACTAGTGAGTTGTTGTTATTTTGTTTTTGAACGATACTTTATGATAGAAATATCTTATGAATAGATATTTGTCGATTATTTGTCGTTCTATATCTTCTTTGTGATGTTTGAGCAAAGTTTTTGGATGAGGGAAGTTGCTTTGGATAAGGTTGTAGCGGTTTAATAGCTAATTTGCAATTTGTAATTTATCTGTACTATTCCATATTATCTATTTGTGTTATTTGTACTATGCCATATTGTTCATAAATAGTAAATTTTATCATATTTATTACAATCATATCATCGAAGATTCTGATCATACGTGTTTTAATGTCAATCATACCTGTTTCTTATATGTTTGTAAGAACATGCAATCACATTGTCATAATTTTACCGCATATTATGCACATATATTTCTAAAATTTGATCATTTGTCATGTATTGATTTTTCAAGAAAGAGACAGTGGTATTATTTTATTTATTCTATGTTTGTTTCTTAATATGGAAGCAGGTTAGACATAGCAATTCATAATCTTTGTAACATGTTTTTATTTGTTATAATTTTGTTATAATTTAAAGTATGTTGCTTTTTGTTTTGTGTTGAACCATATCTAATGAGGCTTGCAGTGACAATGTTCATTCTAGGCGTCGGTACAAGTCCTGGTGGAAAAGCAAGGGTAGGCAAGAGCAACACAATGAACGCAGGGGTAGGTGGTGGTCGGCCTCTCACCTCACCTGCTCCTAGTTCTGTTGGTCGACGTAGCACCATCTCCTATGATCAAGCGAAAACATCATCAGCATCTACTGAAAGAACCAACGAAGTACCCAGGTATTGTGATATCCAAATTATTTTTACCTGAAATATGCGATCTATTTACACGAAAATGTAATACATATATAATAATTAAAAAATAAACGTAGTGCTACGAAATTTTTTATTACATTTTTACTGATATTCTATATAGATTTTTACTTCTCAATATATACTTAACATATGAGATATTGGACATGAATATTTAGTTTTCGTTTCTTACACAACATTACAAAACTTGCTATTAATTATTAATCTATATTCGTAAATTAAATTATAGTCCAGTATTTCATAAGCTATATAACAATATATATATTATATATATACAAAATAAATATTAGTGCATCTCGTGTGACGTTTTCTATTGACTTAACACTTTCACTAACTGTAGACGACTGACTTCTTATGTGTGCAAAGTACACTAAACCATTATTCAAGAAACGATTTGATAATCGAGTGAACAATAACAATGTCTGTCATTAAAAGCCGCGGGGAATTCATTTGTTTGTTGCATTGCTCTAGCATGTTGGCTGCTGCCTGCCAATCGTTCATTGCGATATCACTTTCTTTATGGCTTGACAGATGTATCAAACGGACAGTCTGATGTAACGTTTATACATGTACAGACGCTTGCTGAAATGATATCAGACAACAATCGCATCCACGCGTATAAAAACTCAATGATCTCAAATATACATATATTTCAAACGATGTAGACACACATTATCATCATACATTGTTCATTCTTATATATACGTTATAGCATCATATTCTGTTTCTTATCGTATGATACTTCGCGAAGTTACATTAGCTATAGCAGTTTAGTATTTTCATTCTCCTCTTTCTATCCTTATAATTCCCTTTTAAATTCCTTATTAACGAATTTTTGTTACAAGAAATATTTCTATAAAATTATATATAATTTATACATATATATATATATGTTATACATACACGTATCTATATATACGTATATATACGTATATGCACAAATTTTTTTTAGAATTTTTTCTTGATAAAATATTCATGTATAAAAATTAATTCAATATATTTTTTCTTCTTTTCCAAGACGATATACGACATAAAAATAAACGACATTACAAGTAAAAAGTAACAAGTCATTGTTTGAAACAAGTAAGAAAATTCTTAATGTAATTATTTATCTAAGAATTTAATTATATACCTTACATAAATACGTAATGAAATATTTTCGATGTCTGTTACAAATCTTAGATCTCGCCCCGTTTTGCTTCTGTACAATCTTAAAAAGTTGTTCTGGTCTTTTATTATATAAAAAACAAAAATAGGATTAAATCGTGGTCCATAAGGCTTGGCAATTTGCTGATTAGTTTTGTGCACAGCCTGGGCGAGGGCACTAGACCAACGCGGGGTCACACCAAGTCTGCGAGCATCAGCGCAAGTCACCGTTCCTCAAGTGGTGTACCCCCCAGCGACCATTCACTACTGGACCCTCAACCACGCAACGCCCACAACTCCTTACTCGCCACTGCTGACCCCCTTAGGCAGAGGTACAGGCCCCCGATGCCTAATACAAAAACCGAAAGACCTGCATACATTCCAGCATATTTAATATTTAAATATGTATATATTTCGGATACATTCGTTCTCTTTCATTTGGTTACTTCTTTCTTGGGCCACTAACTCTCTTAGGGGTAATTAGGTCTTTTACTATTATAGTCTTTCGCAATTTCTGCCGGAGCGGATAATGAGAACATTCGTTTCTCAGAAGCTCAAAAACGACAGTGCTAATCTCTTGGAGTGCTCTGTTCAAAAAATTGTCGACATAGGATTCTCTAGGATAGTTTTTGGTCATTCTTTCATTATTTTTTAATTCTCTTTTCTTATTGCTTTTTTTATACTCTTTTTCTCTCTTTACTCTTTCATTCGCATGATATAAACTTTGTTAGATCTCAATAACGGCTTTATTGCTTCTTTTTTCATTTGTATAAATATCATTTAGGTTTGATCATGGTAAAATCATCTCATTATACCGATTCATGATACAATTTCGACATGCTTACAATTCACTTAGAAATTATATGATAATATACTATAGTATATATAGCGGCATGATATTGCAATTAGTTTTCTCAAGGAAATATTTATTCTTAATTTATTATTTCCTACATGATTACGCGTTTGATACATAATATTATATACATATCTATCTTTTTGTATTTTTCCTATTAATTTTGAAAATTTATATCGTATAGAATATAAACTATTTAATATTGTTTGTTTGATAAATTACTTATGACGTGACTCAATGTCTAAGTTAACATCATTTCCTCATAAAGTCCTTTTCTAGCACTATTATACAGTTGCTGTATTTAAAATGTATCTCTCGCAAAAAATACAATTATATTCTTGAAATAATTTCTTTCCATCGATTGATGGAACTTGCATGCGCAGTTGTAGACTGTGCCTATTTACATAATAACCTATTACATATTTTTTATCAATATGAATTAATTTCTCTTATCAATATTGCTTTATTAACTCTACTCATTAATTGCTTAATTTGCAAAATATTACTTGCGCGTTGAAAATTTTTACAATATCTTTAAAAATATGTAGCAATTAAATCAACTTTTTGCAACGTATATAATTAAGTAGTGCAGCGAAAAATTTGTAACTGTTAGAAGAACTTCGTTAAAATTGATCTTGATTGTTGACTTTCTTATCGTCAACTAATTTATTAATTCATACTTTACTTTGGGGATGCTAAAATCTTCAGGTATTTAAAAACTATATTCTGTCAAAAACAGAATTTAAAAAACTTAAGCCATTTTTGAGAAATCTTGCAGACGGATAGATGGATGGATGGATGGCTAGACTAGCACTATGAAATTATAAAGTAAAAAGGTTGCTACGCTGCATTACTTAATAACTAATTTTATTTATTTTATATCTCTTTGCATCTTGATACCAGTTTGAACCGAATGGGTAATATGGTAATATATTCGCTCGAGCATATATTTTTTATTCATAGTGCATAAGAATGAAAATGCTGATAAATCAGCTTATATATCTATCACGCGGTTGCAGTTTGTATTAAAATAAAAATTATTATTTGTTGTTAGTTTGGGTGTATGCACAAGCAACAGACTGGCCACAACCACTACGGCAGCATTTCCACGGAATGTTCCGAGTCGCAGTACGTTCCATTCTGGCCAAAATAGAGCACAGCGAAATCACACTCAGGTGAGTATTTAAAACAGTTCAACTATAGAACAAGAGTTTAATTTGACAAATTTATCTTTTTTTATTAATGATTATTAGTTAATTATTAAGCATTATTTTATTAGCAATTAATATAAATGTTTTTCCAGGGTCACACACAAACGCAGGACACAAATGCAATTAGCCCTCTTGCAAGGCCGTCCTTTTTCTCGAAATTATCTTCGAAGTTCTCCAAACGGTAAGTTCTGATTAAATCTATATAATCTTTAACGATATTAGTATTTGATAGCATGCTAATAATTTGTGTAATTGTAATATTACTACTGTACATTTCCAAACATTTTTTTTGTTAGTTTACGTATTTTGTGAGCCAATTATCTTGTGAAAGACTATATTTAGATCAGATCTTATGAATAAATGATTTTCTAATTAACGTAAACTATAAAATTTTCTTGAAAAATTGTGTGGTCGATACTCAAGTTGTAAAAATGATGAAAATATTAATATTTAGAAGAGAAAAGATGTATTAAAGTACCAAAGTTATTAGCAGTTACCTAAAATCGATCTTTTTAATATAGTTTAATATATAATTATTGTGCATGTATCTAATTAAATCTATATCCACGTGGATGCAAAGAAGGTCCATGAAAGAAAATCAAATATATTTTATAACATAAAGCATTGTTATATATTTTTTATGTATTTCTTTTATTTTTTTCATTCTCTGTATTTTATTTGATTATACATCTACATTTATTGATTTATTTCATGATATATATGTATATATATGTATTAACGTATTCATATATATGTGCATATATATATATATACATGTATATCGTAAGTAGAAAAATATATATTTATAATAATTTCGTGCTATTGCGTTATCCAATTATCCAACAAGTACAGACTGAGAACGCTAGCATAAACATCACAGCTTTGCAGTGGATCCTCAGTGCATGCTTAGCATTTTAAACATTTAAGTGTTGAGATTTTGATATACTAGAATATAGATCTCATATTGTGACATAGTTTGATAAATTGTATCTATTGTTTGCATGCAAAATGATGTTTCTGTTTTTAAGGATGCACAATGACTATGTAATTCTGGAAATTCTATACATCGATATATTTACATATTATAAGGCTATATATGATATTATTTATTACAAATCCGATGAGCCAGCAGCGACCATTATCAATGAAAGCCGCAGAACATGTAGCTTATGCATTTTGTTTCGCTTTATTTATATATTTATATATTTACTTATACATATACCATTTTCATCCTCAAGCGTATCGCGTACTTCACCTATCTGTATTGTTTGTTTGTCCCATAAATATTTGCTTGACAGATTGTATCCTTTAGCTGAATTTTAAGTAGAAATATTTTGGTTCCATTTTATATGCATAACGAAAAATACACAACGTTTTATTTTATATAGAGTTTTTATTCATTCATTATATTATAGATGGAAAATCATATACTATATTGTTATAAAATTCGATATACTATTATATATTGCTATAAACCAAATTCTTTTGAGATCGATTGATGGAAGTAATACACACTGCTCGGCTGAATTCAGGCCACCTCGCATACTCATTGTGCATCCCTTTTTCTCACTCGATTGTAGCGAGGCATATCTTTGATTTATTATTTATATTTATATATATATATACATATATCCATATATATACATATATGGGACTTAATTATCATATCGCACATTCAAATGCCAAATGACAGCGCATACTATACACGTACATAAGTATTTGGAGCTGAGGATGGAAGACTGCAGAATAACGAGAGTATATATATATATATATATGTGTATATATATATATATATATATATATATTTATATCCATATATATATTCGTTCTAGACAATTATTATAATTCTTTCATGATATGGTCACTGTACTCATCATTTCAATATAGTACAGAATAATTGTACAGAAATGTGCGAATTGACGGCATCCATAGCCATTGGTGCATCAGAATGAATATCTGACGTTTCTATTATCAATTCACACCGGTATATATATTATATGCTGCAGGCCATGAACCATATAAGCTTCGCTTCATCTCTCGAGTTCCGACAAGCGAAAGGCCATACAGACACGAGTTTTAAACAACCGATGTGCCGACAGTGTCATGATGCAGCATGCCCAATGCGTTCCTAACGCATATTGAATCGAGCTGGGCAAAGAAGCAAAAGTTTATTTATTATTAGTCGACTGCTCAATGGATATTGTGTGATGCATACAATTTTAAAAGAGAAAAGAAAAACTTCAGACTCCGTTATTCTGTGGTTCTCAAGATTGAGTGTAAATTACTTTTTTAAGAACTTTTACATGTCAAGTATTGTGCGTCATCTTCGAGCATACATATGATATATATGTATATATATCGTATATTATCGCAAATTTATATACATATATACGTATGTATATATATGTATGATTACATAATTATTGAAAAGAAAAAAAATGTCTTCCTGAAATCACTAACCAGGAAATCGCCTTACGCATTTAGATATAACACTGGTATCTGTGCCTTTCCTAATTCAGCCTGCCTGTATGCATATTTTACGTCGTTCGTTTAAAAAAAAAACCTAATATTTTCTTTATATTTTTCTACCATTTTTTGCACTATAAAATCTATTTTAGCTCATCTATTTTACTTATGTTATAAAGTAACAGCGAGTAATGTATGTAAAAACTATTTTATGAAGAGCGAGAAAATAGTTAATAGATTGCCTTCCGACGTAAAGTATCTAATATACAAAATGATAGGTGTGAATTTAATAAGTGGGTTCAAAACACTTATATTTAAGCACCGAAAACATATTTTTATGTAACGGCGGATGTGTGACAGGCATAGATTATTCTCCTACATTAAAATTAGCAATTTAGTAATCTTGTAAATATGATGAAATGAGTTTTATTTGCAAATCAACGATACCTACATAAATTAGCACAGAAGATTTTTACAACTCTTAAATATTTTGTGTTTATAAAACGAACTTTTTAATTTCTTATTTATATTTTATCAATGAAAAACACATTTATTCATGTTCCTTGTTTTTGTATTACTGTATATACACACACACACATACACACACACACACATACACACACACACACATACACACGCACACACACACGCACTATAATATTTTTTTCTTTTTATACTGCCTTTAGAAGATAAAAGCGACAGATGCTTGTTAATGTGAAAGTATATATTCGATCGTAATAATTACAAGTGGTAGAGAATTTCGAGTGTGAGGAAAATGTTATAGTTATACTAACACTAATGAACGAACCAGATAGATTTGATAGATAATAGAGTACATGATTGTTCGTACTTTGACAGATTTTTTTAAGTGAAGGAGGAAGTCTCGCCTTGTTTCCCCCGAGCTGAAATGAGAGCGAGCCGCATGCAGATATATCGCGCCATGGCAATCGCATCTTCCACGAATGTATTATTTTATTTCGTTTTTGATTTTCTCTCTCCTTTTTTTCATAAATTACAATGAGGACTAGAATAATGTATATTTTATAACATTATAGTTAATTTTTTCTTTTTTCTTTTTTTTTTTAATATAATAGGAAAATATGTTGGATAATAAATATATGTGTATAATATTTAAAATTATAACATAAAATCTATTGTTTGATAAAATTTTTGTTATTACACAAACAAATATATTACATATTTCACGTAATATAATATTGTTTCATTTGATGAAGCTGGCACCATATGATTGACTAAGTATAATGTGTAATATGTACATATGTTATGGTAAAAGCATATAAATTCAATAATTGTATATATTTACTAATAAATGTATACAATTATTTAAATTAAAGAAAGTTAAGATTAAAAAAAAATAAAATGAATATTATGTTTATTATGACTAATAAATAACACTTATAAGCATATATTTTTATTTAAACTTTAGTAAAAGCATACTAATTCATATAAATTTTTGCGTGCACATTTTGATTGAAAAATGATTTACGAAATTAAACTTATGCAATTTAATATTCCTAATTGAAACAATAACAAAATATTGTACTATAATGTTTTGAACAAAAATGTCATAATTGTTGATTATATTTAAAATAAATATCTTACACAAAACTAAATAAAGTACTTTTTTTAAATACAAGAAGTAAATAAATATGTTATTTAATCAAATATTTCCTATTATTAGATATAATAAACTACACAAAACACAATATTTTTAATCGCATATATATATATATATATATATACATATATATATACATATACATGTATGTATGTATATATAATTTGTACATTTTATCCAAATTAGATAGTAAGTGTATACATTTATTAGGAAAAATATCAACTGTCTTCTCTTTCGATAATTTTAATAGTAAAATTAATATATGTATAAATTTACTAACAAATGTATACTATTACTGATTTTATGCTTTTGCTGTATAACATATATATTGTTTTTTCCTTTTTTTTTATATCCAGCATAGATTCCTTTTTCAAAGATAGCGTGGAATACATATTTGATTTCTTGTAATGTCATTAATAAGTCTATATATTGGCTTCTTGTACTGATTCTTTCACTAAAACGAAATTCAAGGAAATACGACCTTTAAAACGAATGGATATGTACGTTGTCATATAATATATACATATGTATGTACAGATATTGACATAGCTACAACATTTTCTTCCGAAGTATCGTACAGCTTCATACTTTTTTGTTATTTATAGATAATTTTGAAGTTATAATAAATAACATGTCTTTGCAAGAATGAAAGAATCTAAATAGACAAAGGAGCTAATTAATTCTATTTGCAATATTAAGAAGAAACGATTCTTACAATTTAATATACTTTATACTTTTATTATGTTGTTTTTTAATTGATTCTTATGTTTATATTTTCTATTTAATGTCAATATAAGAATTGCATTTATATTTGAACATTATTTAGCTAACTCAATTTGTTAAATGCAAATATATTTCGATTGAACAAGTAAAAACATGAAGATATGTAAAAAATGTATCAGGCATTCCACTTTATCTTTTCACTTTAATTAAAGTACATGTTTTTTAATGCGATTAATTAAATATATAACTTATTTTTATCCGAAATTTTTCATTGTCGAGATTCTGTAAACAAATAGCAACAGATTATATAAAAATATTTAATACTTGTATTTAATCCATTAGAATGATTCTTTATTTCTGCAAAGTGGTAATTATAAATACTATTCCGAGGTTGATCTCAAAATTGACTAGTACATTATAATTAGAGTGCTATTTGATTGCAATCAATGGCAATTCAATTTTATCTATCTTGCTTTAATTTATTTTGTTAATAAATATTAATTTGTATTGTATAAATTATTGAGAACGCGACATATAATTGAACATTATTTGATCAAGGCAGGCCATAATTAATTGGTATTTCATTTATTTGTATATTGATTAATGTATCCTAATCTATACATATTGTATCATTATTTAATTATTAGAAATATACAATATTTAAGCACGTATGTCTTTGATAATTTTACTGTATAACAATAAAGAGAAGTATTAATGCTAATTTTTTATTAAAGAGCAATGCTGTGCTTAGTACAATGTAATATTAAAAATCCAATTAAATTAACTGTCATTTATAATAGCTTTTATTCAAGATTACCTTTTATAAATGTCATATTTATCATAGAAATATATATATTTTTCAATATATGAGAGAAATCATACCTATCTACCATATTTTTAATGGAAACTACAAAAACAAGATACGCATAATCCTTTAGTATAAGAGGTGTAGCTATTAAAAATATTAATAATATATCTGCGATTTAACTTTATTTCAATACTAAGTACAGGTATTGGCTTTGCATATATTATAAATTTGAGAATTGTGATCATGTGTTACCCCAATATCGAAGATACGTGCCTTTTCCTATATAATATTGTGTATTTCAAATATCTCGTTACACGATAAATCAATGCACTAATCCTTCCACAGTCATTGCCAATAGCATTTATTAATAATATCTGGTCAACGCAAATAGCATCTACATTTATGTGGCAAATAACTATTATTATACGTTTATTAACGAATTATGGCGTATCCTGTAAAATGGCCTCGGGCTGCTTAAGAATATGTTATCCTACTTGTAACAAATCAGAGAAATTTTATCATCTCTGATCTTTTAAGACATTGATGATTTTTTTATATTCTTTTATATAAAGGATATTTAAAAAATCGTATATTTACTCCTATTGTATGATATAAAATATTTCCAATTAACTTTTCATTTACATCTCCTGAGATTGCACAATTAATGTATCCTGATATATTTAGTATTTTGATATAGTATATTTCCAACGAATGTTTAAAATCATCATTACTAGGATTTGTTTTTGTATTTGTCACATGTTTATCGATATTCGGATACATAAGTGATATTAGAAAATTATATATATTATATATAAAAGTAATAAAATGTAATATCTAAGATTACCCAATAAACTAATGTATATGAAAATAAGAAAAGAGAAAATATTGAACAATTAAAGGAGAAAGTGAGTGAGAGAGAGAGAGAGAGAGAGAGAGAGAGAGAAAGAGAGAGAGAAAAGAGACCACGTCATATTAAAGATATCAAAACATGAGATAAAAAAATTTGTTTGCAAATTATATAAATATAACATGTCTTTAAGTGATTATGCTCTTTGCTGCACTCCAATTACGTGCCCGTCCAAGCATCCGGAAAGGATCCTTAGGATATTCAATTAATTATAGTCAATCCATTTTATTTAAAGAATCTAATTTAGAAATTTTTTTAATTTAGATTTTATGGAGGGCAGTAAACAGCTTATAATATATAAACAAAATAGAGATATTATTTAATAATTTTAAGGAGCAATAATAGTAATAAATTCGCATTAATAAATATGTCAAAAATGTCTTGTATATGTTGTATTAATTTATTTCTAAATCCTTGTATACATAAAAGGAATGTTTTTGCCTGTGCGAAAATATATCTTATAGCGTTCACGATGCATGTAACTCGGTAGGAATGTGTTATGTATGAATTGGGCTCTTTTTATACATTTACACGACACATTTATCCTTTGGTACATCGTATCAGGAATCAGAAATTATTTTAGGCAAAGAATCACGATCACAATTTGCATAACTTAATTTCTTAAAAAAGAAAAAACAGTTATCTTCTTTTAAACAATAACGTTTATATCCGCGTGATATGAGATTTCACATCAACATTACACATCCTTATATTTTCATTAATTTTTATAAGAAACTTATATGTAATTTTGAAAATATCAATATATGACTTCTATTAGAGACTTTCTAAGCTCATCACATCATAATTTTATGTGTTATAATCAGTGTGCAATGGTGACAGGATGGTGATGGTTGTATACATATGACAATTTGATTAATTTATCATGTTTAGTGTTTGTTAGCAACTGCCTTTGTTTTGTTATTTCAGCCCCATGGACCCATCCGTACCCCCCAAGCACCTAGTAGTGAGGTACGTTGCTACATACCATAATACCACTATCCGTATTCTAATTTCACTCATTTATTCCTTGATTTTTCGTACATCCAACTTTTTGTTGTCGATCATTATCAATGTATGACGCGTACTTATATTCGTCGTTTAAATAGAATATAATATTTAATGCACGTACGTTGATATCTACGATGATCTTTGTGTAACATAATATGCATATTTTTGTAAAGTGATTTAATATTGCCCGTTAAAAATATTTAATATTTTAGATAATTATGCAAACATAAAAATTATATTTTAATTTAAGGTTAAAGCTCTGTGGAAAGAAATATTCTAATTATATATAATTAACATAAGATGATATTTGATATATACATGTGTGGAACATACTGGATTGATTCTTGTCATTTTTGTCTAGTAACTTTCAATTGACTTATTATTTACATACTTTATCAGTCACATATAAATTACAATATTTTTCTCATTATTATTTATTATCATAAAAACATCCCAAGACTTGATATTACGATAGTATATGATATCTGTTATAATATATGTTCAAGATTGCAACGATTCACATATAATTTTTGTTTTTTGTGTAACTCACTTTTAAGTGTTCTTTACTATATAAATGTAAATATATGTATGCAACACTAAAATTACAATTAAATTTATGACATAAATGATTTGCATGTCACGCATGTATGTTATAACTCTCCATAGGGTTTGATTCTGGATGAATTTCCATTTTACATTATCTATCGGCAGCTTGCAAAGATTTTAGCACAACGTTATATCTTAGAATCTCTTTTAAGCGGATTAAGAATTTATTTTTGCGCCACGATCGCAAGCTTGAAGCTTCAATGTACAACATATCACATTGTGCACAAGATCGACATTTTACATAACTCGATATATTTCGTAATTTTTAGTTTGATCCTAATATGCATAAAATAATGTTATAATTTTTAATAATAGATAAAAACAATACACGTGAGAAATATTTAGATAAATTCGTGAATTCGTAAAACGCTCTCATAATGTTAGACATAAAAAAAATATGCAAGGTAGAAGTATTCGGAATTTCGCCACATGATGTAGAAGTATTCGGAATTTTGCTACATGATGGAGAACTTTTTTTTATTGTAGTTGGATTTATACCGCCGTATTAAATTTATTCGTAATTGTGAAACCTGTACCACTGGAATTGCTTTAGATAATTGAACGGGTTTAAGATATCTTTTTGTTACAGCGGAGCTACTACTAACGACGAACAGGTCAAACCGCGCAGTCTACGCTTCACGTGGAGTATGAAGACTACCAGTAGTCGAGATCCTAATGAAATAATGTCCGAGATCCGAAAGGTATTGAAAAAGAGAAGCATGTTACCGAATGTCATACGATATCGAAGGCGATATATTTTACGAATACAGAGCTAAGCCTGTTTACACCTATCTCTTTGAGACGGATGATATAACATTTATATATAGGAGACTAGACGTTATCATATTGTCTTCTTCCAGGTATTGGATGCCAACAAATGCCAGTACGAACAACGCGAGCGATTCCTGTTGCTGTGCGCGCACGGTGAGGCAGCGACGGACAGCCAAGTACAGTGGGAGATCGAGGTCTGCAAATTGCCACGACTTTCCCTGAACGGAGTACGGTTCAAGCGTATCTCCGGGACATCAATCGGTTTTAAAAATATTGCCAGCAAAATCGCGAACGAGCTCAAGCTGTGACTGTCAGCCACGGGCGCCCTAGCCGCCAATCGCGCCAACCCATAACGACCTCGTGAGCGTAGCCACCAAGTGGCGGTGGTCACCGAGGAGTTTTACTCTTGTTTCTTCTTCTGGGACTCCGACTCCGAATCCGATACCCAAGAAATATTCGTTTAAACGCGATTCCTCCGTCCCAGTCGACGAACATCATTGTCAGGTGAGAGAGAAGAGAGAAAGAAAGATAGAGATCTTCTCACGTATTTGTCATCTCTTCTGCGTTGGAGGTACCGCTATTAACGATTCGTCGAAAAAAGTTTGAAACTGTGATCCGTGATGACTAATACGTATACAAATACTCCCGAGTGCCAAAATGGAGAACTAGATCGGGTCCTCGTAACGCTTTGCGAGCGAGAAAAAGAGAGGGAAAGAACGAAAGATAAGAGAGATGGTCCAGCTGACCTGATCAACCGTACAAAGAAGCTGGTATTAGACACAATAATCTATATTTATTAATTTTGAATTTTTGTTTTCGTTAACAAGATGTGCATCCGAACGAAAATAATCAGTCATTACAGGTTGATCTGCTTTTCCAATTATCGAACAATTCGTCACATCTGTCATGAAGTATAGCTTCATTTTTAAACAGTATTATGTTTCGTGTTATTCTTGACGTTGAAGGTACCTGCATTCAAATTGATATGTCTCTAGAATGTTGAACACTTACCGCGTATACTATCGATGACTAAGATGTTGAAAGATTAAAGAATCGATTCAATCGGATTGTTAAATGTGCCTAATAAAACATTTCTCATCTATTTTGTTTTTCATGGCGACAACGTTCCTTGTACAATAAAACAACGCGATGATATGGAAGATAAAAGAAGCAATACATCTACAACGTCAAGAGATTTCTCTGTAACTTCCTGTTTTTCTCCTAATCTTATGTATCTTGTATGTAAAATTTTACTAATAGAGATTTTGCCTGTAAATAATTTGACAAATTTACAGAACCGAGAGACATGTGTTGCGTTCTGTATCGACGAGAATCTATCATTTATAATGCATTAGCGCCATGAACGAATAATGAATTGAATTATTTCAATGTTGCACAATATGCAACTGTTTATTTTTTTCGAACGTTTTTATGATATACTTTATCTTTTTTTATCTATAGCATAAGTTTGAAAATACGCAGCACTATAGACATTAGCCAATTATGATTAAAACATGTAATAATTATTGTTATTAATACTTTTATTTTTATCATAGACGACAAGAGAGAGTTTTATATATATACATGTATATGTATGTGTATATATATATATATATATATATATATATATATATATATATATATATATATATATAATATATATTAATAAATAAGAGA